AAAAAAAAAAAAAAAAAAAAAAAAGTCTGGGTTTTGCAAAATCTTTGTGGACCATTCCTTACCTACTTTTCTACAATTCAGTATCTGCCGTAGTTCACTTTCCTCACTAGGCTCACTGAATTACTGCTTTTTGTTTTCTACACAGCTGCACTTTATTTCTTTGTGCTGTTCCTCATCTAAAAATGACAATTAACCCTTTTATTGCTGGCAAGTTCCTAATAATCATTCAGGATTTAGAAATGGCAATACCATTGGCCGTTTATTACTGTGAGTTTCACATCCACAGATTTTAACCAACCATTATTGGAAACATTTGAAGAAAGACTCTTAAAAAACAATACAGCAGTAAAAATAGTACATATTAAAACAATACAGTATAGCACAGGCGTCCTCAAACTACGGCCTGCGGGCCACATGTGGCCCGCCTAGGTCATTTATCTGGCCCACCAGGTGTTTTTGCTGCCACTGCCTATCCTGCTTAGCAGCCGACTTGACCCGGGCCCGCAGTCCGGCCCTCCAACAGTCTGAGGGACAGTGAACTGGCCCCCTGTTTAAAAAGTTTGAGGACCCCTGGTATAGCATCTATTTACATAGTATTTACATTGTATTAGGTATAAGTAATCAAGAGATGATTTAAAGTAGTGGGAGGATGTAAGTTATATGCAAATATTATCCCATTTTATATAAGGAACTTGAGCATTCATGGATTTTGGTGTATGTTGTGGGTGAGGTCTTGAACCCAATCCCTTGCAGATACTGAGGAATGCTTATTGTATAGCATAGTGCCTGGGTTCTAGAACCAAACCACTTGGTTTCTAGTTCTTACCTAGATACCTGTTAACTCTGACTCTGGCAAGTCATGTAACCTTAATTAAGCTTAATTTTTCTTAAGTCTACAAATGAGTGTTATAGCATACCTTGGAGATATTGTGGGTTCATTTCCAGATTGTCATGACCTGTTGGGCCCCTATGGCCCAGGTCTCAGTTACTGCAGGAACCAGGCGAGACATGGATTAGAAGTACAAGCTTGTGGGAGACGGGCTAGCCCTTACTTTCTGGGTAGCCCCGAGCAACCTCCGAACCAGCCTTTTATTGAGATGGAATAATACAGGTGAGGGGAGTAATTAACAATGACTAGGTGCTGAAGGCTCGGGTTCTTCTTCCACAAGGAACACCTGTGGACGAATAGCCTGAGGTCCACGCCTCAGCTGCAGATCATCTTGCTCAGATGTCATCTGGCTCTTGGTGTCTATGTTTCCCCCCTCTAGTGTATTAAAGACATTTCTGAATAGGCAAAGTAGAAATTTTGTTGGTTATTTCAGCCGTTCTCACCGAGGAGCTTTACTTAAGAAACGAAAAGGCATATAAGTACAAAAAAAAAAAATACACCAACGGAGCTAATCCAGTTATAAAGGAAACTTACTCTAGCCAAACTAGGCATAGGGGAAATCTTGTCCCCTTTGTGCTAATCACCACTCAACTATGTGCTAAGGGCTGACCCATAGGGCGTATGACACTTCCATGGGAAGTATTAAGCATAGCTAAGCTTAAGCACTCAAAGCTAAGTTAGGTGGGAAAAGGGCTGCAGACTCAGACCCTTTCCAAAAACCAGTATAACTTTAAGTAAATATCAGGTGCCCAACTGAAACAAATAAATCCAAGAAGTGAAATTCTCTTACCTTGAAGATACCAGAATAACCTTTACCTTAAAGCCTGTTCGAGGTCTTTGTTGTCATAACCTTCCAAGGTTTAGACGATGCATCCTAAGCTTGCCTGGGGTTTAATATACAGCCCAAAATAATGAAATCCTATATCAATCCTCTCA